AATATTTTTTAATAATTTTTCCATGTCATCTTGAACCCAAACCAATACATCGATTTTTATTTAAAACAAAAAATAGTTAATTCATGCAGAAAGAGGTTAATGAATTATACATCCATTCAAATGAAAAATAACGATACGTCTTCAAAATGCTTAATTTATTTTGTTGTAATTTACAAAATATTGATCTTAGATGATTGAATCTTTTTGCGACTGTCGTAAGGATACATGCCGTTCAGTGGCGTACGCAAAATTTTTCAATGGGTTTTTTTAGATCTATACAAACATCTTAGACTAAACTTCTAAGTAGAGTATGGAGACTTATTGTTTTTAAATAAAAGGAAAGAAACGAAAAGYGATCAGTACAAATGTTTAATAGTACCTATTTATTGCCAGTAAAAATGAGAAAGAAAGTTTTGTTTTATTATTGTATCAATTTTTTTTTTTTTAATTAGACTTAGATCAGACTCGATCACGTATCTACCTATTAATTATTACAGTATAGTAGAACATACCAATATTAATATGGGGCACGCCGCACGCGTCAGTATTATCGTATAGATGTTGAAATTATCAATAATATTATTGTAGCTAAAAGTGTAGCATCGATTACATATTTCATTTCATTTTCTATCCTGCAGCAAATTACCAAAATTAATTTTATAGATGTGGCACAAAATACATGTTATATTTTTACATTTTGGCGCAAATTACATACCAGAAAATAACTAGGACAGGGAGCTAGGGGACCGTTTAACACACTCATAAATATACTTATTGATGTCACGAATTACAAGTAATAAAATTGGCACAAAATATACCATATCCCGACCGCAACTATGCCGAAATCGAGAGGCGTGGGCTTGAAAATGAATTACWATTTAATTTTTGTTTTAAAATTTTAGACGTTTAAAAAAAAAATATATCAATAAACAATTATTTGTTCGGTAAAAAAGCTTAAATGTGTATACTTGTATCCCTATTTGTTCTTTAGGCATTTTTATCGTAAAGCTATTTAAAAGTATTATTGACGAATGACGATACATAGGCACGATATTTTTTTATAAGAATTTTATATTTAAATTTTGACAAAACCACAATATTACGAGTAGGTATTAATGTAAAATGTGTTGTTAAAAATGTATAAAATA